CTCTGTTGGATTTTCAAGATCTGCAGTTATGATGAATGAATGAAAATAGCTGTTCTTTTGATAATAAATTATGAAGAGTCTCAAACTAAAACAGCCTCCTCTTGTTTGTCCGAAGAGCTGTAAGTTTGGCAAGGGCATAAGCTTATCAATTTTGCTTGTGCGCAAGTAGTAACGGTCTATAGAGACAATGAAAGTATTACAGGTTTACATTCTGGGAGTTCTGTGGAGACTTCTGGTTTATCAATATAAAAGCTCTTTTAAATTCATATTTTGTAAGTCAATGAAAGGTGGCATTCATCAGGTGCGTCCATCTAAATCGTTTCATTTGAAAAAAGCAGCAATGTAATGTGTGTATTACCCCAAAGCCATGAGAAAGGGAGGTCTCTCCACAACACCACCAGTGTGCAGCATTCACTTAGATGATGCGACTGCAGCCACAGGAAAACAGCACAAGTGCGCTCACCACACACCAGCTGTTGGTGGAGTGGAGAGACGGTGATCAAGCCAGTCCAAGGGGATGGGGATCATAGATATATACACTAGATGTCGCATGGCCTATTGTTGTCTATTGGACGGAATGCGTCAATAGCGCCGCCATCTTGCTACAGGGTAGCGCTCCTTTGAAATGAATGCGGGACCAAGGTACAGTGGAGGACTGTGGCCATGCAAAGCCAGAGATAAACACATTTACACATATATCTGTGACCGGGAGTTTTCCTGGATGTTAGTATGTAATTTATTTTTTTCTAATTACGAAAATTATAATTTTACATCACTTTTCTACGTTGATGGATCAGTGATCGCACTGGCATTCCTGACAAACTTGTGTTTGTGTATACAGAAGTGTACTATTCACCCTCCCTGTTAAATTTAATCTAATCCGTGTCCTGAAACACACCTCTCCTGCTTTCACTTCTCATACTGACGGAGGAGCGATTCGTTTGTGAATGAATCCCCCGAACGACTCGTTCACTAGCCGACAATAATACAAGTTTCTGGCAGCGCAGCATCTCGTTGTCATATTTCTTTTGCATTGTTTGCTGATTTTATTCAACAAAACTAGCATAAGCCGAGTGTTTAGTGCGAGTTAGAGCTACTTTGCCGTATGCTGTAAGTGACTGTTATCCTCAATAACGTTACCTGATTAGCACAAAAGTTCAGAACATACAAAAACAGAAAAAAACATAATATTACCTATGAAATGTACTGCCTTTGTGCTTTGTTTTCTTTGTTTGCTTGTTACTACACCCGTAGACAGCGCTAAAGTCCCGCATCTTCACGTAATAACACTGTCTTGTCTAGTGCGGTTGAATGACATTTGTCCTGGGAGCACTGTACCAATGTGGCAGCGCTATTGACGCATGCTCAGGGTCCCTATGCGATATCTAGTGTATATATCTATGATGGGGATGAGTGGGTGGCCATTATGGGTAAGGGCTGATTGATGGAATTTGACCAGGACACTGAAGTGCCAATGGATTTTTTATGACCACAGAGAGTCCGGATAATGTCTCATGAGAAAGACGGTGCTTACTGATAGTATAGTGTCTTCTATACTACACTGGGGCAATAGGACTAATTAACAACCCAGTTTTCCCATGTGGTCTCTCATCCAGGTACTGACCAGACTCAGCCCTGCTTAGCTTCAGTGAGTAACCCGTCTTGAACTGCAGGGTGATATTGCTCTGGCAAGTGAAATGTATTTAGTTTATTCAACTATTAACAGTGTTTTCTTTTTGTAAGAGTAAGTTCTGGGGCCAGTTACATAAACGTAAGTCTTCTACTATAAGACTTTATTCGAAAGGATATATACATATTACATTAATCTACCTTATTATGAAGCTGATGCTAAAAAGGTAAATGTTCTAAAGAAGAAAAAATGACTTTTTGTAGCCAGCATTATTCAGAAATGACTGCTTACCTTCGCCAAACAGCTTTTTAAAAAGTTTTGCATGAAAACATGATATTTATAGTAAAAAATATATAAGCTGTGTGCACTGTTGTACAATTCATAAACATCAAAGATACTCTTGACAGTTGTTTTATAAATTGATCATGAAAATGCATATTTTAAACTTTTATTAAAGGATAAGCAAAACTAAGTAGCCTTTGTTGAACATTGACAACAAATATCAACACACATATTTAAGCCTATTTAGTACTATCACAGAATCAAATCATTATACACTTACTCTTGTTTTTCCACACGCTATACATCACTGCAGATGTTTCATTGTTACAGAGCACGCAGAGATGGTTTTGTGGTAATAAACACTAATCTTCCAAATGTTTAAGGTCAGTAAGAATTGGATAACATGACAGACAATTCAGCAAGGATGTTAATTAAGGTTACATTTGATAAAAAAGGGTCCTGAAAGATCTGTTAGCTTGCATGCATACATTTTAAGCACAAATATTAAAGCATCATAACTGTATTCAGTAATGAGCAAAAGAAATCAGCACAAATCATTTCTGAAGCATCATGAGACTTAAGAGTAATTTGCACAGTAAAATATTCCCCTTTATATTCAAATATGTATTTGAAATTGCCTAATATTCAATATTACATTTTATACTGAGCTTCTGAATAAAACTATTGCAGCTTCTACAATATAAAAAAGTCTTACAGACCCCAAACTATTGAGGAGTAGTGTATATCCAACACAAAGAGATATTAGAAACATTGAATTATATGCAGTCATTTTAATCTAATCAATCCTATTTTTAATTGTGTAATTTGACCCTCTCTTCTGGAGATCAAAAATATTTCACAGTTTGTTATGTACATGGGCTCCAAATAGTATTTAAACACATTTTAAAACAGTTTAAACAAACTTTCTTTCTTATTATTCTTTTTTAATTATTATATTTTACACATATGTTTTGATATATTGTATATTACAGGTGTCAAACTCATTTCCCAGAGGACTGCAGTTCTGCACCGTCAAGCTTATCAAACTAAATGAGTCCTTCATGGTTGCTTGAATCATGCAGGTAAGTTGTCTGTGTTGAAGTCAGAGTTGGAACTTAATTCTCAGAGTTTGACATTCCAGTTGTAAAAAATAGACAATTTGGAAACTCATGAAAAGTCAAGCTGACTCTTGATTTATCATATCATATGTAATGGGTTATCTTAAAGTCGCCATGAAACAGGAATTTAAATTTTCCCTTTTCCCCCATATCGTGACTAGCATCCAATTGAAACTGTCCTGAAATTATAAAAATTGTAGGGCGGTGCATGATGTCGTCCACTTGAAACTGATTGGATTGTTGGAAGATGGCCGTTGCTGAGAAAATGAAGGAAAATTGATAATTGCAGGAAATCAGGGCAGAAATGAGCAAGTATATCGATGCAGCCCAGAGACCTCCAAGTGGAGATATTACGCCGCAAACCGGTTGGGTGATGAGTGGGAGGGATTTACGCCGCAGGTGGGCTGGGTTTAGATGGTATAGGACAGGGGTGTCCAAACTCGGTCCTGGAGGGCCAGTGTCCTGCATAGTTTAGCTCCAACATCCTTCAACACACCTCCCTGGATGTTTCTAGTATACTTAGAAAGAGCTTGATTAGCTGGTTCAGGTGTTTAATTGGGACTGGAACTAAAATATGCAGGACACCGGCCCCCCAGGACTGAGTTTGTACACCCCTGGTGTAGGTGGGGTAGACATCAATAAAATACATCAGGTTACTGTGAGGTTGGGTTTTTGGTCAGGTGGGTGTAGGTGTTAATAAAGCACAACATGTTACTGTGAGGCTGGATTAAGGGTTGGACTATGGGTAGATGTTAATAAGACACAACAGGTTACTGTAAGTTTCCCAGAGATGGGTTGCAGCTGGAAGGGCATCCGCTGTGTAAAACATGTGCTGGATAAGTTGGCGGTTCATTCCGCTGTGGCCACCCCGGATTAATAAAGGGACTAAGGCAAAAATAAAATGAATGAATGAATAATTGAATGAGATTACTGTTAGGTTGGGTTTTGGGGTAGGTATAGATGTTAATAAAACACATCAGGTTACTGTGAGGTTGGGTTTAGGATTGGACTATGGGTAGATGTTAATAAAGACACAACAGGTAACTGTGTGGTTGGGTTTAGAGTTGGGGATGGTGCAGACATTTATAAAGCGCAATATTGGACTCTGTGTCATGTACAAGACATTAAATAAATAAAAACTCCAGTTTTGTACGTTCCACTTTGAGCTCAAGTCCCACCCAGTTGGAGTTGGGTCCAACCTCCATTTGTACCTGTTTCGAAATGAGACTGATAGCTGACAGCCACTGATAGCCCCTCTCAAAAGGACTTCAATGTGACCAGAAATTAAGTCAAGTCAATTCAAGGGATTGTTATCTTCTCTTCTTCTTCTTCGACCTTAGTTACGTATGGTTGCAGGGTCGGCTCTTTGGAACAAGTCCTCCATTTAGACTTGTCCATATGATAATGACTTTTTTACACATTCCGGCCGGCCTGTCACCCTCATACACTCATACACTACGGACAATTTAGCCTACCCAATTCACCTGTACCGCATTGTCTTTGGACTGTGGGGAAAACCGGAGCACCCGGAGGAAACCCACGCGAACACAGGGAGAACATGCAAACTCCTCACAAAAATGCCAACTGAGCCGAGGTTTGAACCAGCGACCTTCTTGCTGTGAGGCGACAGCACTACCTACTGCGCCACTGCGTCGTCCAATTCAAGAGATGGTTATGGTATTTGATAAAAGCTTATGAGGCCAAGTTAATGTTTACGTTGTTTATAACAAGCACTGCGATATAATCTGCCCACTGGCCTCTGTCCATCATGGCCTCCTAACCCTCCCCATATCGTGATTGGCATATCATCACTCTGTCTCCTCTCCACCAATCAGCTGATGTGTGGTGTGCGGTCTGGCGCAAAATGGCTGCCGTCGCGTCATCCAGGTGGATGCTGCACACTGGTGGTGGATGAGGAGATTCCCCCCATTGTGTAAAGCGCTTTGAGTGCCCAGAAAAGCGCTATATAAATGTAACGAATTATTATTATTATTATTATTATATAAACATAAAAATAAGAAGGGCCAATTTTAATTTCATGGCGACTTTTAGCATCTGAATAATTTTTTGCAGCTCACTCCATACATCTGATCCACTCGTCCCACTCGTTCACTAAATCCCACACTCACATCATTCACTGACTGAAGTTTCAGTGACCACTTCAGTCTTAATCTCCACTTGAGTGCTGTGCGCTATTGAAGACTCCTCTTCCATCACCTCCTCTTCTTCATAATCCATATCGGCGGTGGCGTCCTGATACTGCTGGTATTCTGACACCAGATCGTTCAGGTTGCTCTCGGCCTCGCTGAACTCCAGCTCGTCCATGCCTTCACCTGTGTACCAATGCAGAAAAGCCTTGCGTCGAAACATCAGTGCAAACTGCTCTCCGATGCGCTTGAAAACCTCCTGGATGGCGGTGTTGTTTCCGATGAAGGTGGAGGCCATTTTGAGCCCTCGTGGTGGGATGTCGCAAACGGCCACTTTGACGTTATGAGGAATCCAGTCCACAAAATAATTGCTGTTTTTCTGCTGAATGGCGAGCATTTGTTCGTCAACCTCTTTAGTGGACATCCGACCGCGGAAAATGCCTGCAACGGTTAGATATCGTCCTCGACGAGGATCGCATGCGGTCATCATGTTGCGGGGGTCGAACATCTGCTGGGTGAGTTCGGGCACCGTTAGAGCTCGGTATTGTTGGCTACCACGTGCTGTCAGAGGAGCGAAACCAGGCATGAAGAAATGAAGACGTGGGAAAGGCACCATATTGACAGCTAACTTCCGAAGGTCAGCATTGAGTTGGCCTGGGAAGCGGAGGGAAGTAGTGACCCCGCTCATGGTGAGAGATACAAGGTGGTTGAGATCTCCATAGGTTGGCGTTGTGAGTTTTAGAGTGCGAAAGCAAATATCGTACAGCGCTTCGTTATCGATACAATACGTCTCATCTGTGTTCTCGATCAGTTGGTGAATGGATAGGGTCGCGTTATATGGCTCTACAACTGTATCGGAAACCTTCGGCGAGGGCATTACACTGAAGCTATTCATGATGCGGTCAGGATATTCTTCTCGGATCTTATTGATAATTAGGGTACCCATTCCTGAACCAGTGCCGCCACCTAATGAGTGGACGAACTGGAAGCCTTGCATGCAGTCGCAGCTCTCTGCTTCATTCCGGACGCGATCCACAACCTGTTCCACAAGCTCTGCGCCCTCGGTGTAGTGACCTTTGGCCCAGTTATTGCCAGCTCCAGAATTGCCTTTGCAGAAAGAAAACAGCATCAGGAACAATGTTATGGCATATGAGAAATGTTCTTGAATCAACTCTTCTAACAACCAAATTGATGAGTTTTAGCGTTAGTCTTAAATGACCAGTTCCAACCCAGGCTCATTCTGATTACCCCTATATACATTTCTGGAGAGAGCAAAATACATCCCAGGAGCTACGCTTTTTTTGCAGATTTTGTTTTTGCGAATCCACCATATGCCGCTGTGTACGCTTTTTTAGATCTCAAATTTCTCTTGCAACTGCCATTCGCGCCTACTCTCCTTGCGTAAGTCCACCAGAGGCTCTGTCAACTGACTGACTGACTAGCCAACCGACAATAACCCCACCCACCCCCTTCCCTTAACCCAACCAACAGTGTTTTAAAAAGCACCAATATACCCACTCACTCACTTCCCTAAACTTCACAATATTGTTTTGAAAAGCAATCCAGAAAAAGAAAAGCCCTTGCCTAATTTTACAACGTTTTCAGACTTTACCACATGCTCACCCTGTTATTTACTTGCTTATTTTGTTTTTTGGCTTTTGTTGTTGTCCTACCCGCTTTCTAAACCATTCTTCACCAGACTTGAACCCCGTCATCGTGGTCAACTCCTCTCTGTGTCTCAAGTCCGGCGATGTACGTGTAGAGCTAACGGACAAACTGGTAACAGCTGAAAAGTCGTCCACATTTAGGCAAGTGGTCAGCTGGTAAGCGAGAAAAGGAATGGTATCCCCATATAGTTCATTTTAAAGACAAAATGCAGCCGTACATAGCTCTGGCTACATAATTCACGATCTCCAGAAACGTATATAGGGCTACGGTTTCAGAATGAGCCTGTGTTGACTTGTTCAGAATCCAAGGTGTAGGTGACTTATGTTTTTCTTTATAAGAATGCTGAAGATTTTTCAACACAGGCTCATTCTGAAAACATAATCCCGTGGATGTTTCTGAAGACCGCGAATTATGTACGTTTGGCTGCATTTTATTTTTTTAAACGAACGCTACGGGGCTGTATGACGCCGTTCCTTTTCGCGCTTACCAGCTGAACCCTTACCTCCTTGTGAAGGGCTAACCCGCCGTAACCAGTTTGTCCTGTTAGTACGTTGTGTACGTCGGCGGACTGGAGACGCAGAAAGAAGTTGACCACTACAACGACGATGGGGTTCAAGTCCGGGTAAGAGCGGTTCCTGAAATCAGGTGAGTCAAAAACAGAGTCCAAAAGTGAACAAGTGAACAACAGTGTGAGAACATGGTAAAATCCAAAAACCTGGTAAAAATCAGACAAGGGCTTTTTTTCAGGATGGCTTTTGGGTTTAGGGAAGTAAATGGGTGAGTGGGTCAACAGATAAAATTGGTTAGGTTTAGGGAAGGAGGAGGGTGGGTCAGTCGATTGGTCGGCCGGCCAGTCAGTCATTCAGTCAGTCAGACAGACAGTCGGTCAACAGCGGCCTCTGGTGGATTTATGCGAGAACAGCCGCCGTGAACGGTACTCGCGAGAGAAAATTGAGAAATGCACACAGCGGCCTCTTGCGGATACACAAAACAAAAACTGCAAAAATACGTACCTCCCGTGACATATTTCGCGGCCTCCAGAATCGTCCACAGTACTATGTTTTCTAAATGAGCCTGGGTTGAGATTTGAGTGACTTTTTCACTATATTACCCTCGACAAACACCCCTTGATTATCACTGTATTGTCAGGAGCCATGGGGATTGCTTTTCTCAGATTAACTAATATTTGGATGATCATGGCATTGATTGACTTGCATTATGAATCAAGATAGAAGAAGGTTTCAGCTAAAACCTTCTCTGATGTTCTACTTGATGGAGAAAACTAACAGCACATTTTGAACTAAACTACCCATTTTGAGCCGCTGAAAAGAATATACCGTATGTTTTATTAGTGATGCTGGGCTGTCTTATTTCAGGTCTTAGTATTGCTCAGTAGCTATTTTCAATGGTTGTTGACTTGCTCCTGAATATACCCTCACCATTTGTCTGTTGCTTTCTTTAAGAATAATTTCCATCCATACTCCAATCTCTGACCACCTTCTTAAAAATGAATCAGTTTTCTGTTCTGGTCTTAGGCTAAGGCAAATAACTGGGAAAGTTGTTTAAAATGTCATCATGTACTGTAGACGTCTTGCAAAGTATTTTACAGTATTTTGAAACAACAAAAATACAAGACACTAAAGTATTTTGATAGAAATTGTTATGCCCATCTCTGAGAACAAATAACGTCCTGAAGACGTTCCAAGAACTTTGTTGTCATGAGAACATTCAAAAAACGTTCCATCGATAACGTTTTGTGCTAACATTTTCACAACTTTTAAAGAACGTTAGTGAATGTCCTGGGAAAGTTCCCTGTTAGCTTGGAATATGGCATTTTTTTAAACCTAACAGTTTATTTTGACCCAGTAAGGGGTAAAAACAACCCAGCATCTTTTTAGAATGTATAGTTTCAAGAATAAGAGAAAATAATAAAGAAAGCTTCCATCATCAGCTCACATGATCTTTAAATGTAGCTGATTACTGCCTTACCATGTATAAAATTATCAGGCCTGAAGAGTTGTCCAATCTGACTGCCCCTCACGCTGTCCATAGTGCCCGGCTCCAGGTCCACTAACAGTGCTCTTGGAACATATTTTCCACCTGACACACAATGTAACATCTCAGTTCAGATTTAAATTAAGATTAGGATTGCAAAACTAACCCAAAGTACTGCACAACGCTAAACACAAATATTCAATATTCATAATATTCAACATAGGCATTCATTTATACACTAATGAACAGCATTAAAGTAGTTTCAGCAGTCAATATACTGCGGGAAATTGAACATGTCATGTTTTTCCTGGGATTAATATTTCTAACGGAGCTGTTAACATGAAACATGAAATTGAACCAGATTTTAGTTTAAAAAAAAAAAAAACAACTAAAGACATATAAAAATGTGACAAAACAAAAAAATCTAAAAAATGTGTTTTAATTTTGTGTGTATTACAACAAAAATTGTGTGTATTACAAGGAGAAATTCCTGAACTATTGAAATGTATTTAATGCTTTAAAAAAAAAGTTGCTTATAAAAAGCTTTTTTGGTGATGGCAGCTTAAAGATGCCTCTCATATGGAGAATATAACATCCTGCATTGCTCAGGAGTGAGTTTTTCACATACTTCAACAGAGTGTGAAAATCTTGATGGTTCTGTGGGTCTCGTCTATTAAATCTGATCTTTAATTTGTATTTTCTATTGGATTCAGATCAGGTGATTGGTTAGGCCATTCCACAGCTGGATTTTCTTTCTCTGAAAGCATTTGAGAGTTTCCTTGGCTTTGTTTTGGATCACTGTCTTTCAGAAATGTCCACCCTGGGTTCATCTTCATCATCCTGCTAATGTAGATGTTGAACTGAAGCAGGTAATGTTTATTTACTCTGTCCTCACACAACTTTCTCATTCGCATTTGTACACAACACCTTATAACCTGTATATTTATAATAAATCTTAACATACAATTCAACATCCAGATCTTTTTATACTGACTGCATCTCTGTTTAATGTTTATCGTCTTTTTCCATATTTATTTTCGTGTTGTCACTTGTAACTTTATGTACACTGAAACCTTCTGTAGCCAAAACAAATGCCTTGTGTGAAGCACACCTGGCAATAAAACTGATTCTGATTCTCAGGCCAGATGGTATCTAAATAACTACTGAGAGATTTCTGCTGCTGTCTGGGCTTTCACTACCTTTCTACACCTTCCTTTTTTCATGTGTTCGATACTTTTTCCCTGCGTCATTTCACTTTATTATGCATAACTTAATTCGTAAACTAATTAGATTTGATTTATTTCTTGTTTTCCAACATCCAGGGAAAATTTCAAGTCAACAGCATCTTTAGGAAAATGTATTTTCAGAGAAAATGTTGGCATGTTCAATACTTATTTTCCCCACTGTACAATAGAAAACATGAATGGAAAGTGTCGGTCTGCATACCATGTGCTTCATTGAAGTAAACATTGACTCTCTCCAGCTGAAGGTCCATGTCGCCCTCGTATGCTCCAACTCTGTTAATGCCATGTTCATCACTGATCACCTCCCAAAACTGCAAACACACAAAAACACTTTTGGAAAAATGTCTGCATATTTTCACCCATTTATTATCACTGAATAAAACCTTGGATGACAATCTGGTTTAATTGACATTGATTGCCATTTTAAACACCACCAATACCTGCGTTCTCTGTTGAGAGAGTTGCACTTGTTCTTCCAGAGTCTACTCTGTTTTTACCACAATCCTACAGCATGAAACTCAAAGCCTGCTGAGCTCAATCCATGATAAAGTAGGCCCACCCCATCAGAGGAGCCTCTGCTCTTATCTTTACAGTAGACCACGCTGGGGTGAACACCCTATGACTGCACGTATCATCAATTTACATATGTATTATTATAATATATACAGTTGAAGTCAGAATTATTAGCCCCTCCGAATTATTAGACCTCCTGTTTATTTTTTTTCCCTTAATTTCTGTTTAACGGAGAGCAGATTTTTTCAGCACATTTCTAAACATAATAGTTTTAATAACTCATTTCTAATAACTGATTTATTTTATCTTTGTCATGATGACAGTACATAATATTTTAAATTCTTTAAGACACTTCTATATAGCTTAAAGTGACATTTAAAGGCTTAACTGTGTTAATTAGGTTAACTAGGCAGGTTAGGGGAATTAGGCAAGTTTTTATATATTGATGGTTTGTTCTGGAGACTATTGGAAAAAGTAGCTTAAAGGGACTAATGATTTTGACCTTAAAATAGTTATTAAAAAATTTTAAACTGCTTTTATTCAAGCCGAAATGAAACAAACAAGACTTTCTCCAAAAGAAAAAACATTATCAGACATACTGTGAAAATTTCCTTGCTCTGTTAAACAATATTTTAAAACGAAAAAAAATTCAAAGGGGAACTAATAATTCTGACTTCAACTGCACAATTCATCCATCAAACATTGAATAAACACACTTGAAACACTTTAAGTATTTATCCACAAGCAGAATGCTGTTCAAAATGACTACAGAAATGAATATAATAATAAATTAATGACACTACATATAGACATAACCAACTGAATAAACAAAATACAAATGAATTCTTCCTTTAGATAAATACATGCCCATTTTTCTCTCAATCCAGCATCAGAATCTAGCGTGAAACAAGTCAGGGGTGAGATGGTAATGCTGTAACACTAATTAACAAAAACACACATATAAAAACACACAAAACGTTTTGAGTCACCTTTGAGCCGATCTGATTCCCACACTGTCCGATCTGTAGATGAACAATCTCGCGCATAATGGCAAATTTGGCTTGCTGAAAGAGCAGGAATAGCCTTAACCAGGAGTCCGAGGTGCCCACTGTGTGTGTAATACCAGTGATGACAACATCAAGAGGGAGTCACCCAAACGCCACATAACGAACATTGAATTACGAACTAGTAACGTTACAAGAGCTTATTGCATTTTAGAGATGGACAGATATTGTGTTGTCAAACATTAGCACACCACAACGAGACAAACTGATGATGTTAATGAATGATTTAGAGCTATTTTTACATATATGTTATAGAATTTCATATACAGGATGCAAAGTCATCATGAGCTTCGATCAGTCGCTTTCTCTCTGGTGTTCATGATAAGACTCCTGCAGGCCGTATCTGTCCTATTGCAGTGACACAGGCCATCAGAAAGACAGACAGGCCGCATGCTCATTGTCTGAGTGTTTCCTGCTACAGTTTGTTCAGCTGACAATTCTGTAAGGCAGGGGTGGGCAATTCATTTTCCAAAAGGGGGCAGATTAGAAACTGGGGTGGTTTTATAGGGCTGGGCTCACCCAGTCAACTCAGTTCTGCCTAAAATATTGTATATTTTCAATGTAAACTTTACAATGAGAATGTGTGGTACGTAATTATATCACAGTTCCATAGACATTCATAGCAATTGTTTGTAGGTTGCTTTTATGATGTTTGGGCCCAAGAGCAAAATAATGTAGATTTATGTTGACTCTATATATCAGACCTGGTTATTGCACGACCTCCTTTTTGCATTTGAATTTATATTTACATATTAATGTAACATATTCAATGACAGTTCACCCAAAAGTGAGCTTTTAATCGTTATTTACTCACCCTCAAGTCGTTTCCCTCTTCTGTTAAACACAAAGGAAGATATTATAAAATAATCTGAAAGCCTGTAACCATTTTCATAGTTAATTAACCAATTTAATTGACTTCCATAGTTTGAAAAATGTATATTATGGAAGTCAATGGTTACAGGTTTCCAACATTTTTCAAAATATCTTCTTTTTTGTTCAACAGAAGAAATAAGCTTAGGGTTTTTTAATCACTTTAGGGGGGTAAATGATGGAAGAAACGTTTTTTTTTTTTTTTTTTTTTTGGTGAACTATTTGTTTACAGGAATATGGAAGTCAGTGGTTAAAAACCTTGAAGTTTCTTTCTTCTGTTAAACACAAAAGAAGATATTTTAAAGAAAGCTGAAAACCTGCAACCATTGACTTCCATAGAATGAAAAAAACTAATAATAATAATAGTTTTACAGCATTCTTCAAAATTTTCTTTTTTTCTTATTTTGTGTATACAAGAAAAAAGAAACTCATAAAGGTTTGAAACATGTAAAAGCTGAATAGATGATGATAGAATTTTCATTTTTGGGTGAAGTATCTGTTTAAAAGGATAGTTCCCCCAAAATCAAAAGTCAATCACTATTTACTCCCACTCAAGTGGTTAAAAACCTTCAAGTTTTGAAGAAAGCTGCAAACCTGTAACCATTGACGTCCATAGTGTGAAAAACGATAAAAGTCAATGGTTACAGGTTTCCAACATTTTTCAAATTATCTTCTTTTTTGATCAACAAAAGAAGGTTTTTAATCATTCAAGGGAGAGTAAATTATGGCAGAATTAAATTTTTGGGTGAACTATCCCTTTACATGAACACGGAAGTCAGTGGTTAAAAACCTTCAAGTGTCTTTCTTCTGTTAAACAAAAAAGAAGATATTTTGAAGAAAGCTGAAAGCCTGTAGCCATTGACATCCATTGTATGAAAAAACTAATATTAGGAAAGTCAATGATTACAGGTTTCCAACATTTTTCAAAATAAGCTCAACAGAAGAAAGATGCTTTAAGGTTTTTAATCACTTGAGGAGGAGTGAATGATGGCAGAAATGTCCTTTTTTAGTGAACAATGCCTTTACAGGAATATGGAAGTCAATAGTTACAGCTTTACAGCATTCTTCAAAATATCTTGCCTTGTGTTTAAAAGAAAAAAAGAAACTCATAAAGGTTTGAACCATGTAAAAGGTGAGTAAATGATGACACAATTTTTTTTTGGGTGAAGTATCTGTTTAAAAGGATAGTTCACCCAAAAAGTTTAATTCAATCAGTATTTACTCCCCATCAAGTGATTGAAAACTTTTAAGTTTCTTTCTTCTGTTAAACACAAAAGAAAGCTGAAAACCTGTAACCACTGACTTCCATAGTATGAGAAACAAATATTATGAAAGCCAATGGTTTCAGGCTTTCAACATTTTTCAAACTATCTTCTTTTGTTGTTAACATAAAATAAAGTTTTTGAGGAGAAGTAAATGGTGGCAGAAGTTTCAGTTTTTCATAAACTATCCCTTTACAGGAATATGTAAGTCATACAGCTTTACAGCATTCTTTAAAATATTTTGTCCTGTGTTTAAAAGGGAAAAAATAAACTCTTAAAGGTCTGAAACATGTAAAAGGTGAGTAAATGATAACAGAATTTTCATTTTTGGGTGAAATTTAATGCATGGTTCACCCAAAAATGAAAATGTCCTCTAATTACTCACCCTCAAGTAATTCCAAACTTAAGAGCTTCTTTCTTTCTGTTGAAAACAAATGAAGATGTTTTGAGAAATGCTGTTAACCATTGCCTTCCATAGTAGGATAGACAAATACTATTGAAGTCAATGGTTTTCAACATTCTTTAAAATATCTTATTTTGTGTTTCAAAGAAAAATAAACTCATAAAACGTGAGTAAACAATGACGATTTTTTCTTTTTTAGGTGAACCATCTTTAACATGGAGTCTGACACGTATATGCAGATTTATAGTTCACCAGCAGATGCCACTGTTTTGCTCAAAGTAGTTTTCACAAGAGTTCTTCGTTTACTCCTAAATTAAAATTTAGATTCAGTCAGAAATTTTCCTATCATTCATTCATCCTAGTGATTCTTGACTGTCAGCATCTAAACAACCATAAATAAAACAAGGTTAGATAATCCACAAGAATTGAGTTGTTAGAAAGACCCTGGAGTTAAGGGGAAGTGTGAAGCGCCGGCGCTGTTGTAGATAAGGTCAATGCATGAGGCATCTTAGAGGACAGATTAAGAACAGAAGGCAAACTATTGTGCAAGTTATTCAACCTTCCAAGAAACAGGAGAGCGGTCGTATATTTAGCAAAGTGCTGTGGTGTTTGTACAAAGTGTGTCAGATCTGTATTTACAATGAGTTCTTTCATAATTCTGAGTCATTTTATTAACAGAAATCAAACAGCATGCAAGAGGAGGAATTAGAGAAAGCCAAAGATAAAGGGCAAACGAATCTGCTTTGCTTTTATATAGTTTGAAACATCAAGATTTGCTCAATGTTTTTGAAAGCTGCACTTGTTCAATCCAGAATACAATAAAAGCATTTACATTTTTTTGAAAATGTTCATTCCATTTAAAACAACTGTTTTCTATGTGATTATGCACTCACCGGTCACTTTATTAGGTACACCTTTCCAGTACCTGGTCCAGGTTGGACCCCCTTTCACCTTCAGAACTGCCTTAATCCTTTGTGGCATAGATTCAACAAGGTACTGGAAATATCCCTCAGAGATTTTGGTCCATATTGACATAATAGCATTATAGCATTATGCACAAGATGCAAATCTCCCGTTCCACCACATCCCAAAGCTGCTCTATAGGATTTAGCTCTGATGACTGTAAAGGCCATTTGAGTACAGTGAACTCATTGTCATGCTCAAATAACCAGTCTGAGATGATTCACGCTTTATGACATGGTGCGTTATCCTGCTGGAAGTAGCCATCAGAAGATGGGGACACTGTGGTCATAAAGAGGTGGACATGTTCAGCGACCATACTCGGGTAGGCTGTGGCGTTGACTCAGTTGATACTAATGGGCCCAAAGTGTGCCAAGAAAATAGCCCCTACATCATTACACCACCACCACCAGCCTGATCCGTTGATACAAGGCAGGTTGAATCTATGCTTTAATGTTGTTGACTCTGAATTCTGACCCTACCATCCCAATGTTACAGCAGAAATCGAGACTCATCAGACCAGGCAACATTTCTCCAATCTTCTATTGTCCAATTTTGGTGAGTCTGGGCGATTTTTAGCTTCAGTTTCCTGTTCTTAGCTGACAGGAGTGGCACCCGGTGTGGTCTTCTGCTCCTGCAGCCCATCTGCCTCAAGGTTGGACGTGTTGTACGTTCAGAGATGCTCTTCTGCAGACCTTGGTTGTAACAAGTGGTTATCTGAGTTACTGTTGCCTTTCTATCTGCTCCAACCAGTCTGGCCAGTCTCCTCTGACCACTGGCATCAACAAGGCCCACAGAACTGACGCACACTGGATATTTTCTTTTTTTCACACCATTCTCTGTAAACTCTAGAGATATTTGTGCGTAAAAATCCCAGTAGATCAGCAGTTTCTGAAATACTCAGACCAGCCCGTCTGGCACCAACAACCATGCCACATTCAAAGTCACTTAAATCACCTTTCTTCCTCATTGTGATGCTCAGTTTGAACTGCAGCAGATCATCTTGACCATGTCTACATACCAAGATGCACTGAGTTGCTGCCATGTGATTGGCTAATTAGTCATTTGAGTTAATGAGCAGTTTAATGTACCTAATAAAGTGGCCGATGAGTGTAATTTATTACTGTGGTAAATGTAAGTCTTCAGCATTATAATTCCACTCAGAAATAATTGTAATATGATTATTTGGTGATACGTTATTATTGAAAAGTAGCATGCACAGAAAACAAATTAATGAATTGTTTATTTATAAAGCACATTTATAACGTCACATAAGATTTTAATCATCAAAGAAACTTGAAATGTATTATGGTTTCCACTATGAAATTAAGCAGAATAAAATTTCGGCAATAATAAATGCAATAATATTTGGCACCATTAAACTTATTACATTTATTACATGACACAAGCTGGAAAAATACATCACACAGAACTTTAACTTTGTGTTCTGTCACACAATTGTGGCTTATGTGATTTAAGATACTTTTAAAACATTTTAAATAAATCTCATAAAATATTTTGTGTAAAAATATTATAAAATACTTTTTTATGAAAAAGTT